GATGCAGGGGAACAGCCTTAGGAAATAGGGATGGCCTCTGTCTGGGAAGAAGGAAGGGGCACGTGGAAGTCCCACTGATGGCTGCGTGACTCCTGGCTGTGCCCGTCCTCGTGGCAGAGGCTCTTCTTGAGAACGATCTGAAGTTTCTCATGGGCCAGATGTGGTTTCTTTTTTGCCTTTGGTGCTTTTTTTTGTTCAGATCAATCAGATGTAGTACACGTATGCTGTAAAGCCCTGCTAGTTTCTTCCATCACACAGTTTGCCCTGGATGACTTGGCACAGCTGTAAGAAGTGCCACCTACAATGACCTGCTTTTCCCTTTTTTGAAATCACTAATTCTTCAACAAAAAACCATAATAAAAAAGGACAGATATTTCCAGGAGTAAAGAATACTTCCATGAATGAAACCAAAACGTATTGACAGCTTTGCAGCATTCCTTTGAGCAGGGTGGGACTGCCATCCCTGCTGCTCCATTGGCTCCTGTCCTTCTCTTACAGGTGGTTAAACTTGTGAGGCTATTTAGAAAATCTGTAACTAAGTTTTTAAACTTTGCTCTGTTCTGTAGAGGGGAGAGACGCTCCTCTGCCAACCTGCTGCTTTCCTGCAGCACTTCGGTTATGATTTCATAAATGGGAAATAATTTCTGTAACAGCATATTAGACAGACTTCAGCTTCATAGCCATGTTGTCTCTTCCCCTGAGCAGTTGCCCTACTGCACACGTTGGAAGCACCTTTTGAAACATTTAAAGCAGCAGCGAGGCTGACACCTGGAGCTTTGTTTCAGGGTGGTGTTCACTGTAGGTATCTGCTTCACATTAGCTTGATTCCCAGTCAGAACAGCCATCTGCTGGTCCTGTTCTTCCTCCTTTCTGAAATTGTTCCCTGTATGTGTTTGGTTTTTTTTAAACAGCAGAATTCAAGCTCTTTTTGACCCGTCCTGGCAGTGAAGCCTTTGGCTGAAATAGTGTCTACCTCCCACCACAATGTTGTTGTGTAGGTGAAGGGCGACAGCTTTGACCAAATGTGCTTAGAAAGAAGCGTTAGTGATGGGGGGAGATGAACAAGTTGAAGGGAATAAGGGGAAGCGAACCATCTGCTGTGCTCATTTAGTGCTGTAAATATTTGCTTCTCAAATGGGAAGCATTCATGTTTATGAGCCATCAACAGATGAAACAGCATTAGTCTTTAACGAATTTGTATTATTTTCAAATGCCAAGCTTGCTATGGAACACAGAGGAGAGGGATGCTGTGTTCTCAGGGCTGACTTCTGCCCATACTGCTGGAAGTGTTGTGTTGCTGCTGTTTTCCTGCTTGAGGCAGCTGTGCAGATTGATGGGAAACCCACGTGAGATCATGAATGACATTTGGTTGAGGAGCCTACAAAAATAGGAAGGGCAAAAGAACAGTTATTGGCTAGACCCACCAGATGCTAAAGAGAGCGACTCTAAGTATTGAATAAAGTTTGCTGAAGGCAATTAAAGCCATAGAAGTCAATTAAAGCCAATAGAAGATTTCCACTGATTTGAAGGGCCCTGTGGGGATAAGCAAACCTGGTGGGAGATGTCCCTGCCCACAGAAGGGATTGGAACTGGAAACTGCTTGAGGACCTTTCCAACCCAAAGTGTTGTATGGTATTTTTGTCTTTTCCTGACTTTATCTGTATTAACACAATTCACACGTGGCATTTATTTATGACACTGTTACAGCCATTTTAGGGCTCCTGTGTCTCAGGTCAGGATTTCATCATCTCAAGATTTCCTGGACAGAAATACACGTGCACGTGTCATGCAGAAATCACTTTTTTTTCTTTTTCTTTTTCTTTTTCATTTTATTCAGAAATCTTCCAGAAAAGACTAAAACCTCATTTTTCTTTTGGGAGAGGTAGGACTTGGCCATATGTTGGCCATCTGTATATCATCTGAGAAGCCTGCGAATAAAATCTTTGTATTACCTCAGAAAGTAATCTGCAGGCACCACAAATTTTGGAAGGGCACTTTGATTAATTGCTCTTTAAAAGAAGCTCAGTGTGTCCCTCTGGCCTCGTGCTGCTTCTGCAGATGGGGACGGTCTCCTCTAGGCCACGTGTCACATCTGCCAGCCTGGAGTGGTACCCCTGTGTGTCTAAAATGGTACCGGGCACCGATGCTGCTGAGCTGCTCCTTTTGTGGAAGTCTGTTACTGAGGGGGAAGAAGGCAAGGGGATACATTTGCACATCTCTCTGAGCTCCTTCATGTTGTAAGGACTCACAGAGGCTCACGATGTCCCCATGTGGACACCCAGATTGCGGTGCTGCCCCAAGATGGAGGGTGAGGGCATGCACAGTGTGCACAGGGAGATGAGCTGCTCTGCCTGGTGTCCGAGCTCCAGGAAGCAGCGGGGAGACTGAGAAGCATCTGGGAGCCTGAAAAGGTGACAGATGGATCAGGGCAGCCACGCTCTGCACTGCTGCGGCAGGCCTGGCATCTGGGCTGCAGCAGGGTATGGCAGCAGCCTGGGAGCCTGAGGGGTGGAAGCAAGTTTCTGCAGAGCAGCGAGAGGAGCGCTTGTCTGCCCGCTCAGCTTCCACTGCTGGGCAGGTATGAGGCTCTGGCAGTTGGGGGCTGTGAAAAGAGGAAGGGCCATTCATGCAGGTTCTCCCTCCGAGGTGTGACCGGCCGAGGCCTTGCAGTCAGTGCAGCATCAAAACCAGCGCTGCGAAGAAGCGAAGGCGTGTTGTTCTCATAGGTGACTCCCTCCCTCCTCCGGGGAATGAGGGCTCCCATCTGCAGGCCAGACCTCATCAAGGCTCGGGTCAAGGATGTTACCAGGAAGCTTTTGAGCATAAGACAGCCTTCGGACTATTATCCATTCCTCTTTCAAGTGGGTACCAGTGATGTAGCTGCAGGAAGCCTGAGGTCTATCAAAAGAGTTTTCAAGGCCCTGGGGAGACAGCTAAAGGATTCTGGAGCACAGACAGTGTTTTCCTCCACTAATAAGGAGAGACAGGGAAAGAAACAGGCGAGCTCAGGTCATCAGTGCCTGGCTTCAAGACTGGTGCCAGAACTTTGAGTTGTATAACCATGGAAAAGACTTTGGGCTGAAAGGTCTGCAGGGTCTCAGTGGGGGAAATGCTTCCTGACCCATAACCTGGCAAGGCAGATAGAAAGGGCTTTAAACCAGGATTGATTGGGGAAGGGAATACCATTAAGAACACTGAGGTTACACTAAGGGATGGTGCAGTGCTGTTAGAGAATGACAAGGCAAATGGGAGAATCTGTGCTGATCCAGAGTGGTTGCAGTTTCAGGAGCTGCTATACCAACATTTTGTCCTGGTTTTAGCTGGGCTAGACTTAATTTCCCTTGTAGTTATTGTATGATTTGGATTTAGGAAAAAACAGTGTTGATAACACAGTGTTGTTTTAGTTTTTACTGAATGATGCTGCACGGAGCCGAGAAAGTTTCTGTTCCTTGTAGTGCCCTGCCAGTGAGGGGGCTGGGGAGGTGCAAGGAGCTGGGAGGGGGCAGAAGCAGGACAGCTGACATGAACTGGCCAGAGGGACATTCCATGCCACATGTGTCATTCAGAACGATAAAACTGGGGACATTTACTGGGGGGATGGCCACTGCTCGGGGACTGACTGGGCATCGGTCAGTGGTGGATGGAGGGGAGGCAGCAGATGTCACCATTCCAGATTTTGGTGAGGCCTTTGATACAGTTCTTTACGGCACCCTTCTGGATGGATTGTCCTACTGTGAGACAAATGAGTTCACACTGCTGGGTGATGAACTGACTCGATGGAAGAGCTCAAGAGGTAAATGGGGCGACATCTGGCTGTGTACAGTTCCCAGAGGTGTTCTCTGGGGTCATCTCTAGAGCCAGTCCTGTCCAACATTTCTATCAACCAACTGGATACAGACACGCATCCACAGCACGTCTGACGATGGCACAGATCTGAGAGGTGGTGCTGATCCCTGGAGGGACGAGAGGCCTTGCAGGAGGATCTGGATTGATGGGAGCATTGGGAAACCCTCAGTGGCACAAAGTTCAGCAAAGCTGGTGGGATGCCCATTGTGTGAGACATGGGACTATCATCCATATTGATAGAAAAGAAAACAGGGGCAGTGGTAAGGGCAATCTGCATCTCATGCAAGGGTCAGTTACATCTTGTAAACTACTAAATAAAATGCAAGCAAATCAAAGATTGTCTCTGTTTGGAAAGACGTAGCTGTTAAACGTGCAATTTCAGTTTTGAAAATTGTGACAGATCTGCTCCAGCTATTATAGTGGCAATTTGATTTTGCAGTGCTGTAACCATAGCAATTGTGTATCTTTTACTGTGTGTGGGGGAAGCTGTCCAGGAGGGTGGATGTTCAAAGTTAAGCACTAGAAAAAAGCTGAAATGCTTATGTGTTTGTTAGCAGAGTTTTTGAAAAATTTGACACCTGAATCTACAAATCACAGTCCTAAGTGTCTGAGTTAAATAGGGCTTGGGATGTGAACAAATCCGGAATTTGTCTGTTCAGTGTTCACACAGTCAATTCTGGACATAGAGTGGTCTAATTCAGCTTGAAAGGCTTTGACGAAAAATCTTATGATTTAGTATTGTTTTGCCTTGTCTTTAGATGTTATTTAATGCCTGCACTCACACATAATGTGATTGTAGGGCTGTGCTCTCTCACAGATAGTCACTCTCACACTACACTGAGAAGCATGTTCCATGGGACCAACATGATGTAATTTCTGCAACATAAAATAGAGCTTCTACAGAGTCAGCTTTGGGCATGGCACATGTAAGTTCTTCTTGGCTCCTTACTTTGATCACAGCCTCCATAGTGTTCTCTTTTAACTAATTTTATCACAAGTCAGCCTTATTTCTGTGTCTAAAGGGTATTTGTTAAAGCTCTCATTATGCTCAGCTGGTGTAGTGTCACAGGTACTGTTGACTCATGTATCGACAACTTGGAAAAGGTTTTCTTGAGAAGATCCTTAAGACTAATATGAGAAGTTGTTTGTTTTCCTTTTGGGGTCTCCTAACACTTTCTCCAGCTAATTACTGAGGTACTGGAGCTGGTAGTCTGTAAGATGTTAATTCTAGCATTTGTTTTAGCCACCCAGATCAACTTGGATTTTCTGGTCTCTGAAGGTGACAGTAAGAAATCAAGTTGGAGCTTGAGATGGGAAAATACCATATCTGTTTTAAATTCCCACAAGAGAGGCAATAATTGGAATAGCTAATAATGATTTATTTGTACTTAATGCTACTCAGTTGTAATCCAGATAACATTTGCATTGGTCTCCAGGAGTGAGATCTCTCTGTGTCTCAGAGCATTACAGGGTCTGTTACTAAACTTATATTTCAGTAGGTCATTTGTGAAGACATTTTGCTATGTGACAAAATTAAACACTCTGTGTTTGTCATGCGTATGTGTTGTCACCTCTGTGCTGATGACATCTCCCTTAGGGCACCCTTACATATAAAACCAACTCTTTAGCATAAATACTTGTTGAAACTAAATACAGGAAGCATATAGTAGATGTACGTATCTTACAGATTTCTGTATTCTACCCTCATGCAATGTGATCTTTAGCCAGAAAAGTAGGCTAATGATTTCAGAGTACCTGATCGTATGTATTATTTGGTGTGATAGATGAATGGCAAAGAAAGCATCATCTCTTCTTAATAAATTCCAACAAACAAAAGGAAGGCTTATTAATAAACCGAATCTGTCAAAACACACTATGCATAAATGCTATATTACAAAGTAAGTGCTATATGTTCCACAACAAATCTCATTATTCTCATATGGAAGAGTCTTTCTTTCATGCCCTGGACAAGCTGGGTCAGCTTCTGTGTCTCTCACTCCTCACTCTGGGTCTCAGCGCTGCCCAGCCTTAGCGAAAACCAAGCTGAAGTGGGAGCTGTTGTTGAGAGAGCAGCACAAGCTGTTTGACTTTTGGCTCTCTTTCTTTCCATTTCCTCCGTCGCTTCCATTCACCCTGTTAAAACACAGTTTCTGTGGCCTCTTGTGATTAGACAAGTACTTGTTTCCGTGGTAGAAATTGTGTCATTACGGATATCATTTTAATATCAGCTGAGGACGCTTTCTCATGAAAACTTTGGAACAGCCTGTCAAGAATGTACAGCTCCCCTAGGAAAAGAAGGGGTCACATTCTGTTCCCAAACCCAGCACCATGTTGTATTTCTTCTCCTCCTCTTTGTACCACAGCTCATGGATTCCTGAGCCAAGATATCTGATTAAAAGAAGTAGTAACACACATTTAAAAGAATTCAAACCTGCATTATACATGACAGCTGGATGAGGAACAGAGTGACATCCTGCCATCGTTCAGGCTCTTAGATTAAACTCTCTGTCAACTGTACATCTCTCTAAGACGGTGAACAGACATTTCTGTCAACACCCAGCCTATATTTAAAGCTCTGGGCTTTGAATTGATGTTAGAAGGCTTGAGCCACTTTAAAGACTATTTATCATCTATATTGTCTTTGCCCGCCTGGAAGATTTTGTAGCCCTCAGCTGCTCTTAGAAATAAATCAGCTGAGAAATTTCCTTCAAATTGGAACTGCAGAGCATTTCAGGGATCCTCAGGCGACTAACCATAATGTGGGAGGAAGGGTAAAGACTAAAATCAAGAGAGGCCCATGGGAGGAAAAAGAATGCATACGCTCTGGGGAAAGAGAGGAATATGGCAGATGCAGAACAGAAAAGGTGGAAAGCAGGAGAGCTGGAGTCTGGCAGATGAACAGTCTTCAGTGTTGGGCACTTCTAGGTCTGCTCCCTCCTTGCTCTCCTACGACCTTTCTCCTGGTAGCTTAGCCAGGGAAGGTTCTCTGCTGGGATAACTCAGTATTAAGGCACAGAGCTTCCACAAGAAGAGGAAGATGTCTTGTTTCGAGCCAAAGTTTGCTGCTACAGCCTTCAGCTAGAGTAACCTACAAAGATTTTAGTCCTAATTTTTGTGGAATGTGTGAGGGGTGAGTTAACCACGAAACCTGCATTTTCAGTTTACATATTGGATCTGCTGGAAGCCTGTGCTGTGCTGTCCTTGAGGGCAAACCTCGGCTCTGGTCTCACATGAGATTGAGAAGTCCTATTTCAGTGTGGCAGATTGTGGGCAGGTTTTGCAGTGCTGGTTAGACTATACTGAAATATTTGGTTCATAAAACCCTTCTCAAAGAAAAGAAGAAAAAAACCCAGCTACCAACCAAAAAAGGAAAACAAGCAAACAAACAAAAAACAAATTACAACCCTAAAAATCCCCAAACACTGAGTACCGAGAATTCTCCTTAAATGCAAGTTAGTTTTGCCAAGAATGCCTGTTCAAAGTCTATCTTCCCGGTTGTCAGCTTCCTAAAAAACCCATTTTGTTTATGACAGCATCAACCCCATGAAGAAAATAACTGTCCATTGAAGAGAAAGAAATCCAACCTATCAACTTCAAAGCTCTCTACTTCGATTGCTACGCGCATTAGGCAGTTTGACATATACACTTGAGAAGCTAATGAAAAGACAGCAGCCTTAATACGTTCCTGGTTTGGTTTAGCACTTTGGGTTTAACAATAGGCACTGGCAGATGGTCTGAAAAATTCGGCATTTGCACAAGGCACAGTAGTTGCAACAGGAATTCAAGTGCGGTTTGCAGGTTTTGAAGTTTGGCACGCAGTCAGCAGCAGGTGTGGGCCTTGGTTTTGGAGGTTTCTTCAGTTCAGCATTTTTCTGGAACAAACACATGAAAATTCATACAAATGCAGCACAGTTATGGGTCAGGATAAAGGACAGATGCAAAGAAGGTGAACTATGGGAACTTCTGGCTTGAGGTGAGTCGGTGGTTGTTGGCAACGAGACCTACGTTAAGTAGAAGATGGAGCTGATGTGGTGGGACTGGGCTGTGGGAGCTGCTGGATTACCTATGGGGCAAAATGGTGCACTGTGGATGTATGTGCAGTGTGGGCAACTCCCTGTTATGAGTGCCTAAAAACGTGACTGAAAAGACCTTTCAAATATACTGTGTGGAAGAATGCAGGAGCAGCAAATAAAACGATGCAAGAATCTTTAAAGATGACATTATTACAGGTTCAACAAGGTAATGGATTACTCTTGTAGGCCCAGCTTGTTTGTCACGCTGCTTTTGGAGCTCGGTGCATCAGATTTGCATCTGGGAATCCTTAACTGCAGACACAGGTGAGCGAGCTGAAAAAGATGGAGCGTACTGCTTCCCTGTGATTTGGAAAGAGGGGAAACCTGGAGCTGGTCAGCACCAGTGCCAGGCACCTGGGCAAGGCCTCTGGAGCTTTCTACAAATGCCCCAGGCAATCTTTTAAAATGGGTAAGTTTAGCAGAAGTTTCATTTGTAAGGTAAAAATTGAGGTGGTCTGTAAGTGCTTGAGATTTCAAGCTCGAGTATTTCGAGTCTGGCTGCCTGAATGACCTGCTGTGAGCTGCAGTGGAACAGCAGGACCTCCTGTTTATCAACCCGAGTCATCCTGGGGGTTTAGGAAGTGTTTCAGAGAAGACAGACCATTCAAAACGCTCGAAAGGAAAAGAAGGAACTCTAAATGTTGCTGGTTGTAGCAATGACTGGTTTGGCTTCAAAAAAGCTGCCACGTCAAACCAAAAAATGAAGTAAAAATGCTATTTTCTACTCTTTCAGAGAGTCTTAAAACTACCACTCTGAACCAAATGATGGGATCGAATTCCTAGGTCATGTTTTCAACTAAATACCAAATCATTTGGATCCTTCTACTTCAATGTTTTGGTACCTGCAGTTAAAAATGAGCAGAGTGAGTTTTGTGCCTCTGGGCTGCAGGGCTTGGACAGCTGACCCACGTGCTGGGATTGGGAATAGTATCTTTTTTTGGCCAGTACCTGAATAGTGTTGCAAATACTTAAAGCATCACATGTCTAAGGTATGTTTTCTGTAAGAGGATTGTAAAATAAAACAAAACAGAAACTGCAAAACCCAATAACCTGTAACTAATATGGAATCATGCTTTTTTTTCCTCATCATTTATGTTTTTCATCTGTTTCTGCAATATTAAGCTTCAAACTTTTATGTAAGTTAAGTCACGTAATGACTGTAAAAACTTTCTAGATAAGTGCACTGGGGTAAAGTACAGCAATAATAAACCATTCTAATTTGACAATATTTTCTGAACAGCTGCCTACCTTGGAAGATTTCTTATTCTCTGCCTCTTTTCTGCTGACTTTCTGGGATCTTTTAGTTAAATCTTCAAAGAGAAATGCAAAACATAACATTAAATCAGTCTTACAGCAAATATTATTTAACAGATACGCTTTTATGCAAGATAACCTGCATTGCTATCCCATGACTGCACAGCAGAATGATGAAGTTCATCTCCAGGAACTGTCCTCACTTAAAAACAGCATCTAAACTGGGTTGTTGCTCATGGAAAACGAAGAGTAGTGCTATCTGCATTTTAGGAGGCATTCTGTTGTTGTTGAACATCATTTGGTGCGATGTGAACAAAAAAAATAGTTCCACAAAAACCAACCAACCAAACAAAACAACCAAAAAAACCCAAGGGCTCTGTGTAAGCATCTTCTCTTGGAGTATTTATGCATATTAATTGTATGAAAAAAAAAAAAAAAAACAAAACAGGAAAAAACAGTCAAAATTCCATATTTTCTTCTGTAAAAGTGGTGTTACCTACACAAATTTGGCAGGAATTATTATTCTGGTTTCATCAGCAAAAAGCTCCTTGCTGTTTTGGCATAAAACACCTTGAATTCTTCACTTCCTTGTTCCTTTTTTACTTACCATCTCTTTTCATGAAATGCTAAGGTAAAGGTGTTTCAGCAATGCACCTGTAGCTCTAAAATGTCTCTGTGTGTTGCTGGAGTTGATTCTTGAATTTGGTAAATTTTAGAGGTGAGATTTCAGACTATGTGTGATGGAATTTTGTAAAGTTTCTTTTTTTTAAGATCAAAACACTAATATTTCTCACATTGTCCTTTGAGGAATATTAGCTTTATTATATATAACCTCTAATATGAATTACTATTTGACATTACCTCTGTAACTAAGACCTGCCTTGGGATCTAACACAGCAGGAGTTTTCTGCTAAAGAGTGAACACTGCCTTTCTCACTAATCTATCACAACGTTTTTGTACATTGTGAGCTTTGGTTTAAGTACAAGATCCATGATTGATTGACAGAAAAAGATTTACATACGCCTGCTTATGAATAGTGGCTCCTTGTTTGTTCCAGAATTTGCCACCCAAATCTTTTTGAACACTGAACAATTACCAGAATTCACAGAATTACGCAATTAAGAATACGCTGCTTGGCAGTTTCATTTATTATTGTAGCATCGTTACAGAGTTAAGGTTACACATCCATCATCAAGTGACAGTGGGTGGAAAAACCATATTTCAAGCATAAGGAATTTCAGGCCACCAAGAAGAGCATGGCTTGCACCCACTGGTGTTGGTTGGTCAGTTTCAGTTTCATTTGGCAGGTTGTGTTGGCTTTGTTATGCTGTCCCTAGAAATTTGCTGGTGGTAGCTGAAATACCTCAGTGACATTCAATTCTGTGCCAATTTGATTTTCTATGTCTGCAACTGTTCTGGAATGCTTTGCTTATAAAAATTGTTTTGGTAATGTTCAGTTAAAGATGGAGTGATATAATTAAACTGAGATTTAAACACTGGTGTGACACAAATGTGCAATAGTTATTCTAGAGATTTTGGTAAAGATAATATTGCCCAGTGGGCAGACAAGAGGGAAACATAGAAAAATATTTTTTAAATAGATAAATGCTGTAGTTGCCTCTTCTTTTTATATTTAGATGAAGCCTTCTTCTCCCAGACGGCCAATAATTTCATATTCCTCATCTGTTATTTACGTGTTTTCAACTGCTGTCTAATTGACCAGCTGCTTACAAACCATTGAAGTTATTCTTTCATTTTGGATGTTAATGCTCATTGTTTTTGCATGCATATAGGAGAAGGATGAACACTGTTTGCTTGCATTTACCACCTTTGCTGTGAATTTCTTTTCTTACTTTGGCTAATTTTTTCTTTTCCCTTTTGACTCTAAAATGGGAAAGTGGCAAAACTGTTTTTTTCCACAGCATGGTGGTATGATGTGGATCTTACAGAAAATGAAGATGTGCAGAAAGGGAGGAATGCTTTTTGTGAGGCATTTCAGAGCCATCCAAAGCAAAAAGGCCTGATAGCATTAGGAGATTTTTCCTGTCTTGAGTGTCTGTTGGCAAAATAATATGGCATGATAACTTATCTGCTGTGTTCAAGGCATGTCCACGTTTTTCCAAGGACACTTAGAAGTTAACCAAAGGGAATGCATTTTATAATTCTGATTCCAGTTGTAAAAAAAATATTGGAAGTGTGGGGAGTGTAGGATTAGAAGCAACATGGAATGGTGTGGCACGAGCTTAACAAATGTGTCATTAAACCAATTTGGGATAAAGAGATTTGGATTTCATTGGAGAGACTTGTGTGGGACAGCTGGCTCACCTAAAAGAAACACTGCCCGTGAGTAAAAGGACAGAGAAAATAAAAGGTAAGAAACTCATTTGATTTGAGAACAAGTCCTAGAAGCCCACGGAAGGGAGATGAACAATCGAAGTTTTATGACATTGTTCAGCTGAACAACCCCCAAGTACCCAACAGTTTCTCAAGAGATAACTGAAAGTTGACTTAAGTTGCATTGAAAGCAAGTCAAGGTTGAGATTGTGAAAAAAATGTTAAGCATTGTTCGACAAAGTTCATCACAGGACCAATGGGCACCTGTCAGCAATGGCAGGGGCACAGCCTGTCCTGCCTTGGATAATTGATGACTTCTAGCTCCCCTGTAGTCCTCTCCTCTCTTGGTTAAAGATCACCTGGCACACAGGTGAACTGACATTATATTAATATCTCAGCAGAGAAATCAACAGCTTTCTGCAAGAGTTGATCCAAAAAAATTTGCTTACATTCACTTCTTCTATTTGGACTTTCAAAGAAAGATGGATGCCCACATTAACGAAATAACCCTGCTCTTGAATATAGAAAGACATACGGTATGATAGGAACCTCAGTGCAAACTGCAAATCTAAGGGTGGGTTTCCTGTTGTTCTTCTTACACTAAATTGTGGTTTGCCACACTGCCATACTTGAATACCATGGCTGCATTGCCACTGCAGTTCTGTGTAGCACTAAGGCATTTGTGTGAAACTGCAATGTTAAAGTCAGCTATCTGAACAGTCCATATTAAACAACAGCTGCATTTTCTTCAAGTCCTGTTAATTTGGCATCAAATGGCAAATTTTACTAACCTACGATGGAGATGGGTGGGAGGTCTGGGAGGTTCATTTTGTTGTTCTTTGACAGGTTGCATTCTGTCTTCTCCTCGATTACCAGGTGAGAACTGGCAGCTCTGAGCAAACTGTAGCAGAGCAATAGGCTTAGGAAGAGGCTCTTAGTTTCCATCCTGGGGAGAAAAAATCCCACTGTTCATAAAAACCAAACCACAGTCAAAATCTGTGTGTAGAAGAGAGGTACCTGTGTGGTAGAAGAAAAGGAGATGAGTCTCAGCAATTCTGTCATGTTGAGCAGTTTTATCAACAGATCTTTGACAATTATTTGTTCCTGCTACTTTGACCTTGACACCTGGATACCTAGGATTGCAGTTGTCTCAGTGGGGGAACAAAAAAGATCTCTCAAAAACAATCCTCTAGAGAATCTTTTTTTCTTCTGATTCTTTTCTCAAAAGTTCCCCCCATTCTTCCCTCCCACCCAGGGAAAAAAACAAAAAAAAAACAAAAAAACCCAAGAAGCTGAGAAGAGTTCTCCCCACTGACTTTAACAGTGTTGTTTATTGAACAACCAAGGGGAGAGAAATTTCTGCATTCACTTTTGGCTGACTCCGTCACATGGTGGTATTTTTCCCAGTTGTGTTTACAGATTTGTGCCATAAAATCTATAATAATAATAATAATAATTAATAATAATAATAATAATAGCAATAAAAACAAATTATGTTTCCTATTACTGTTCTCTGTCTACAAACAAGTCATGAAGAAATATTTTATTATATCCTGGATGTGGCTGCTGTGATTGCATATTGATTCATAGCCATAATTCAAACAAATTATAAAAGCCTCAGGGCTGAAAGGCACTTACATGCCAAAGCATTTAGTACACAATTAATAATTTTTCAGATTAGCAATGTCTATAGGATTTGAGCATACTTCAAGAGAAACCTGCCCTTTGTTCAATCTGGCCATGTACCCTGGATGAAAGCCCCTGGCCCTGGCCAACCTCTGAGTGACTCTGTGCAGCAACACGGAGTACACAAACCCAGTTACTGTTCTGCTCTCATTTTCTTCTAGATTTATAATGCTGTTGAAGTTCAAAGTTAATGATTATTTCCATGTGCTGTAGTTTTATGATGTGTCAGAGTTATGGAACATTCCTTGTGGACGTTCTGCCAGTCTTCAGATTTATATGTAGCTTTTTGCTAGTGAAGAGCTACTAGCAGTATTAAAAAAAAAAAAGCAGTGAAACCAAATAGTTCAAGAAATTATTCTAGTTGTGACAGTTTAATTAGTGGAGACAAAAGATGAAGAGCTTCTACTTTTGAAGTAGAGCATTTCCACTCTGCTCGTATGGCATCACCTCGAGCATTGTGAGGAGTTTTGGGCACCATAAGGACATAAAGAATTAGTGTCCAAAGAAGGAATGCAGAGATAGGCAGGAGGGATTACTGGGAACCGAGTGCTGCTGTCTCTGTATCTCCAATGGTATGCAGTTGGTAGAGCTCAAGGCTGTATGGAAGTTGAGACCCAAGCTGGATTAAAGTAGTGGCTGTGGATAGATGTATCCTTTAAATGATTTGATGAAAATTTTGTAATAAGCAATGGGAGGAGTCTTTAATTTGATTACAGATATGGTCTGGTATTAAAGGTGGAGGTTGGTGGCCCTGCTCGTTGCAGGGGGATTGGAGATTCATGATCCTTGGGGTCCCTTCCAACCCTGGCCATTCTGTGATTCTGTGATATATGTAGGTTGCTCTGAAATTAATGCCTTCTATTTATTCATGGCAATTTCAACAAATACAAAGAGCACAACAGCGCTATTTGACGGAGCAAACTCTCAGCTACAAAGCAGTATTTTTCAACATAGTCACCACCATTAGCTCTGCACTCCTGTTAGTGATGAACAGCAGCCTGCGTACTGAGCTCTTCAAAATCCACACCAACAGAGGTCACCGTCACCACCGCTGACACGCACCAGATCACTGTGCTCACAACCACTGCTGGACTTCCATAAACATCCACAAAATGTTGATGAATGTCACTAGGCACTATTTTGCCAGCACGGAGGAATCACAGCATCACAGAATCACTAAGGTTGGAAAAGACCTATAAGATCATCCAGTCCAACCATCCACCTGTCACCAATGGTTCTCGCTAAGCCATATCCCTCAACACAACATCCAAACGTTCCTTGAACACCTCCAGGGTTGGTGACTCCACCACCTCCCTGGGCAGCCCATTCCAGTGCCTGACCACCCTTTCAGAGAAGTAGTATTTCCTAATATCCAGCCTGAATCTTCCCTTGCAATTACACACCTTTGCTCCGCTCACACTGCCACGTCAGACACCATTTTGTCAGGCTGCCTCTCTGCTGCCATCTGTTGCATGGTAACAAGATGGAACAGGATACTGATGGGAAGGTTCAACCCCTACTGCCATCCCACCGACAGCAGCCTTTGACATTGTGGGCCAACATCATAAATTAGGAGGCATTACTTTCAGAGCAGCCCATGTCTTTTGATCACAGAATCTAGCAGATAACCCTGCTTGGGTGTTACATCTAATAGCGCAGTGTGTTAGATGCATGCAAGCAGAGCTGATAGAAAGACAAAGTGAGTGTAAAGAGGAGTCAGAAGTGAAAATGAGATGAAGGTACTGGTAGGCTTGATACTCTTTTCCATCATGTCACAGAACTCATGCATATATTTTTTTCTTTTTTTGGCATTACAGGAGAGTTTTTATTTTCCAATTTTGCTCATTAGTTTCCTAATTCTCCTTCTCGATCTCATTAGAGACTTCTTAAGGTAATCAAACTATTTTCCTTAATTTTGGCAAGCTGCACATCTGCTTTTCTATGAAGACTTTGTTTTAAAGGAATTTACTTTCCTAGCAGATTCCTAACAATTAAAAAATACATTCTTGCAGGGTTGCCATTCATTGATTTAATTAGACTACAACGTACTACAATATATTTAACGTGATTTTTTTTTTTTAGTTTACATGGAGTTAGTTTTGCAAGCAGAGAAATAATCACTGAACTTCAGCCACCATTCAGCAAATTATGTAAGTAAACAGTTAACATGTGAAGTGCCCTTTACTTTCCAAGGGAATGACAGAAGTACACATAAAACCAAAAACAAAGGAAACATTTAAAAGCATAAAACAAATGAATTTATTGAGTGCCATCAGAGATTGCGGTGCCCTTTTCTATGCCATTTCCTCTGTAATTTAGATTATACTACTGAGTATGTAAAGAATATATTTTATACTCACCCCAACTGTTAAGCCTCATTAGCATTCTTTTCAAATATAAATTAGCAAATGGCGTAGGATGCGAAAGAGCTTTTGTCTTTTCTAATCCATTTTATCTTGTGAGGTCGAATTAAAAGTCTTCATGAAAGAATCTGATTTCCTCAGTTGCACCCTGTAAACTCAACACTTCTGAGAGGAGCTTGTTTCCTGCCACAACTGATTCCACTCTGAGATTTATCCTCATCCAACAGCGGACTGAGCAGTTGGAGACTTTGATTGCCTTAAACACTGGAAGGGACTAGTTTAAATTCTCTTGTGACGTCTGACAGACTCAGACCAACTCATAAATAAACTGGGATCACTCTAAATAGCCTGTTGAAAACTGTTGCTTAGAAAAATGAAACGTTAAAATGGGCGAACAAAGGAATATGAAGTAAACTGAAAACTGTGTTACATCACTCAGTAACTCAAAAATCTTCACCTATGCTCTGCTCTGCTGCTCTTTCCATTTTGAATGGAATGAGGGAATGCAAGAAAAGACAACAACAATCAAACAACCAAACCAAATCCAAACCACAAGAATTAGCAGATTCCTTGAAAAATTTCAAGATTTTAAGATGGAGAATCTTTGAAGTATTTAGGAAAAAAATGGAATGTAAACTACAACAAAATGACTGCACAGCTCCCCCTGATGTTTTGGTTGGTCATTTTATTACTACACAGCGCTATCCTGTCTCAGCCATCAGGTTTCAGTAGAAGAGTTGCAATGAGATTGTGTTGGGAGGGAAGGGAACGAATCCACCTGAGACAAATGGGAATCACCAGCTCTGCAGGCAGGCCTCTGCTGGGAATGCTCTGCAGTACTAAGAGCAGATTTATTTGCAACTGACTATACAGAATGCAACCGCTGTGCTTTTTCAATACTTCAGAGGGCACTGTCAGCACCGAAAAACTCCTGAGTTAATTAAATACAAGCAATACCTGCTACTCGTCCTCAAACTACAAAAGAATCTGGAATAAACCAACACAAAGCTTTCCTCAGGTCAAACCTGAATTGCAGTGTGCTTGAGCTATTTCATTTGGTGTTATGAGAATGGGCTATAAAAATCTTAATCTACCTCTCTTATTATTTCCAAGGTTCTGGTAAGGACAAATTTTCCTTTTTCACTGGAAAGCTCCAAGCAGGAAAAAAAAGAAAGAAATTGTAACACATCTACCTTCATTTTGCAATTGGAATATAGGAAAAGTTTCTCTAGTTTAGGAATAGCTGCTTAATGAAAATGTGGGCATGCAGTATGTTTATGTGCTTAACATACATTGAATTCTTGTCACTTCAGAGTGATTTCTAGCCCTTGTGTGTTTTGAGGTGAGATTGTAGAAGAATGAGAGTGAAAATTATGGCACACTTCTATTCCTCTCTAGTGCTCTGGTCTTTGAGTTTTTAGGGATCATGTGTCACACTTTTCAATAGCAACAGCCAAGGGCAAATACTTGAGCAAAACAACATAAAGCCAAGAAAGACTTAATGACATTGCTCCAGGAACAGAGATATAAGGCTACACGTTTTTCTCAGAGTTCTGATCTACTAATACTTTACTTTGGGTACAACTTGGTAGTTGTGATGCACTGATCAACCTGGAGGAGGACCAGTACGAGTTGTTTTACGTCCTGTGCTCCAGACTGAGGTTAAGGGATTCCCTGGGATTGACAGGAAAGTTCACTGTCTAAATGCCTTTCAATCTTCATCACTTTCATTGGCTCTGCTTGGTCTTGATGCTATTTAGGTGTCCAGCTGCTGAGAGATGCTTACTTAGATACTGTGTAAGTGAAAGTAAAGTTATAGAGAAATGGTAAAGGAAGCGCACTGTGGCAAATATTTTTGATGTGTTATCTTGAATGAAATGACAGCTGTTGGGAAAAGCTGTCAAGAAATTAGAA